GAGTAGTAGGAGTAGTAGGAGCAGTAGGAGTAGTAGGAGTAGTAGGAGTAGTAGGAGTAGTAGAAGTAGCAGTTGGAGTAGCAGTTGGAGTAGGAGTTGGTAGCAGTCGTCGCAGAAGTAGTGGTAAGAGGAAGAGTAGGCGCACGGGCAGGGACACCAGCGGTGGACACAGGAGTCGGAGCGCGAGCATACAGCCACTACGTCATACAAGCAAGCAGCACAGACTAAACCCTAAACCCTACATTGCCCTACATCGGAAGGCACAAACCCTAAAACCCTAAATCCTGAAACCCTAAACCCTAAATCCTAAACCCCCTAAGCCCTAAATCCAAAAGCAGCTCCGCCTTCTTCTTCTCCTCTGCTTGCTGCAGGCGCTGTAGAACCTCTCCGTTCGCCTCGTGGGGTCTCCAAACCCCAACTCCCAACTAGGCTTTAGGGTTTAGGGTTTAGGGTTTGGGGTTTAAAGTTAAGGGTTTAGGGTTTGGGGTTCAGCAGCTCTGGAATTGAAAATTTCCTTTCAAGTTATTCTCAAGAATAATTAAATCGCACCCGCCCATAGAATCCCCCCACATTAGAAATAATACTTTTACTTGTTTCAGTTTAAAACTCAATAAGCAGTTTTTAACAGATCATCAAACAATCGACTGCAATCACACCATCTCTATTCAAACCATGCAATTCCCAAATCTAAATGCTTATCCAGTCGTTCCTCTGCCCTAAACCCTTAACCCTAAAGGCCAGCACCGGAGCTGTAACTCTGAATCTAAATGCCAGCCCAGAGCGCTGAACCCTGAATCCTACCACCCTAAAGCCCTAAACCCTAAAGCCCTAAACCCCAAAGCCTTAAACCCTAAAGCCCTAAAGCCCTAAAGGCCAGCCCAAAGTTGTTTTGATCAAAAGCCACGAGTTATGATCCAAAGCCACGAGTATTGATCAAAAGCCACGAAGACTATAGGGTTTAAAATACTATAAAAGAGGTTTAGGGTTTAGGGATCAGGGTTTAGGGTTTAGGCTTGAGGGTTTTAGGGTTTTAGGGTTTAGGTCTTACGGGCTTTAGGGCTGTAGGGTTTAGGATTTAGGATTCGGGGGTTTAGGGTAGGATTTCGGGTTTAGGATGTAGGGTTCGGGATGTAGATTGTAGGGTTTAGGATGTAGGATTTAGGCGTTTCGGGCCCATCGCAACAGCTCATCAGTCGCAGCGTGCCTTGCAGCGCAGAGCCTCTTCGAATCGACCCAGGGCACAGAGGCTCCGCACCAGGCTGTCAGCCTTAGAGTTTAGAGTTTATGGTTTAGGGGTTTAGGGGTTTAGGGGTTTGGGGGTTTAGGGTTTAGGGTTTAGGGTTTAGGGTTTAGGGGTTTAGGGTTTAGGGGTTTAGGAGTTAGGCTTTAGGGTTTAGGGTTTAGGGTTTAAGGGTTTAGGGTTTAGGGTTTAGGGGTTTAGGGTTTGGGGGTCATACGGGTTTAGGGGGTTTAGGGTTCCTCCATACTCCATCACCGGAAGGGCGGCCTCTGAGTCGTTGCTTGCGTCCAGGTCCTGTGACGAACTCTGCAAATCTCGACGAAGGTTTAGGATTTAGGGTTTAGAGCTTAGGGTTTAGGGTTTACGGTTTAGGCTGGGACTAAAACCCTACAGGCCCTAAACCCTAAGACCCCTAAACCGTAAACCCTGAACCCCAAACTCTAAAGCCACACCCTAAACCCTTGCACAACCCTAAACCCTAGACCATCATGACAATAAGAAATAGAATTGCGTGTCTTTGTTCACCTTGCAACCCTAAGCCGTCCATTTCAGTCCTAACCCCCGCCCGAGCCAGGCCCCAGTCGTAGCCAGAGCCAGCCCCCCAGCCCCCACCCAGCCCCAAATTCAAATCTTAGGGTTTGAGGTTCAGGGTTTAGGGTTTAGGGGTCTTAGGGTTTAGAGCCTTTAGGGTTTTAGGCACAGGCTCCAAAAGCAAAAACTCGGTCAAGTCGCTCGGTCAAATCATCTCGGTCAAAACAAAAACTCTAGTGCACCCAAACTCTGAACAGTCTCTACAAACCCTAAACCCTAAACCCCTAAACCCTAAACCCTAAACCCCAAACCTCAAACCCTAAACCCTAAACCCCAAAAACCCCAAAAGCCCCTAAACCCTAAAGCCTAGACGCGAGAAAAGGGCGTCCTCTCTTCCGAAGGCTCCGAAGGCTTGGCCGAGGCTTTCCGGCTGCCTCAGATGCGCAGAACCAAGGGCTTTGGGATTCTATTAGGGTGTAGGGTTTGGCGGGTTTAGGCTTTAGGGTTTAGCGTTTAGGGTTGAGGATTTAGGGTTTAGGGTTTAGGGTTGAGGGTTTCGGGCTTAGGGATTAGGATTTAGGGCTCATGGGTTTAGATTCTATTGGCTTTGAAGGGTTCCTTAAAGGGATCTATAGGGTTTAGGGATTTCCAGTAGGATTTATGGTCTCGGGCCAACGGCTTAGGCATTTAGGGTTTAGGGATTCAGAATTTGAAAGACTTAGGGATACTTAGGGCTTAGGGCGTGTTTTCTTTTTACCGTGGGTTCAATTGCGGTGGTGATTTTGCGTCGGTTTCTTCAGGTCTTGGTGTTTTTATGTACTGGGAAGGAACTGTATTGGTAAGGCTATTGGCCAGTGCCTGTTAAACCCTAAACCCAAAACCCCCCAGGACCCTAAACCCCAGTGATCTGATGTTGCGTGTACGCTCACGATGACTAAATCGAGTGCTGCCCTGAGTCTTGCTACTGCTGCTGCGATTGCTATTACTACCCTAAATCCTAAGCCCTAAACCCAAAGCCCTGAACCCTAAAGCCTAATTACGGTGGTGCGTGTTTTGTGCGTTGGTGGTTGATGTTTTGCGACATCTCGGGTTGTCTGCGACGGGGTAGGCAAGGAACACTCGCCCAGGTCCCAGCAGTTCGCTTCAGGTACCACAGATGCTTGTGACCAGGGTTGAGGGTTTAGGGTTTAGGGTGGCTTACTTAAAAGGTTGTGTAGAATTGAAAAGGTCTGCTTGTGCACTCCAGATGTGCTTATTGTGCAACAGAACATGATAACAGCCCCGCCCCCCCCAGCCCCCCAACCCCCGCCCACCCCCCCACCCCTTAACCGCCACCCGAAAGGGCAAGCAGACAACATGACAGACAACGGCAAACACGTAAAAAGCGCAGGGCTCTTAGCGAAACCGGCGGTTTCAGGAAATGAGGAATATGCCATGCAGGCCACGTCTTTGAACTTACAACGATGTCGCACCCAAAAAACTACCACCGAATCTGATGTAAGATTCGGTGCAAACAACAAAAAGAGCGGAAGACAGACGTAATCGTCGGCCATGCAGAACGCAAACACATGCGACAATGCGAACACCTCGCGCAGGACGGTGGTTTCCATGCCACGAAGTGGCTGTGGTGAGCGAGACGGGGATGCAACAGCATGCAAACAACAGCAAAGACCACCCCGGCAACTGAACTCGTAGTTCCGGGTTCCTAGACCCTTTATTACCCCCCCCAAACCCTAAACCCTAAACCCCTAAACCCCTAAACCCCTAATGAACCCTGACAGCCCTCTCGGTCCGGCCTCGAGAAGCTGCCAGCGGAAGGTTTCGGGGAAGCCCGCGAGGTGAAGTCATCGACATCCAGCATCTGACAGGGTTTAGGGTTTAGGCTTTAGGGAAGGTTGAGGGCTTTAGGGCTGTACCTTAACCTACCAAAACTTTCTGGGTAGGCTCTTATTACAAAAAAACGTGGGTTCTGGTGGGTTAAGGTAGGATTTAGGGCTTTAGGGAACCCTAGGATGGGAGGGGTTTTTTGCAACCGCAGCTCCCTGTAGGATTGTTGGTGACGGGCTTTATCGACCTACACATACGGTTTGCGGTTTAGGGTTTAGGGTTTAGGGTTTAGGGTTTAGGGTTTAGGGCTACGAACGCCCAATACGATGTCAATACCCAAGATTTTCGGGTAGAAGCTCACTGTACTTCTGCCACGCTTCAGGCTGCTGAGCACGCCTCCGCCACTGCATCTGCAGGCGTTGACAATGGAGCACCGCCTGTCTGACCAAAGTAACAAAAATACAGAGCTGCTGCTGGGTAGGTTTCTAAAGTACGGTCACCTTTAGGGTCCTTATTATAAGGGTGCCGCACCATAATTTGGGACCTAAAAAGCGACCCTAATTTAGAGAACTACCCTGCTGTTGTTGTCTAGTGCCCCCGAACTGAGTGGCCAGATGCATAACGGCAGCCATGGATACGCAGAAAACCCAACACGGAATACAAAACAACATACCTCTATCTATCTATCTATCTATCTATTTATCTATCTATCTATCTATCTATCTATCTATCTATCTATATATAGATAGTTATGTATTTGTTTATTCATTTATTTATTGTTTGTTTACTTATCTATTTATTTACTTATTTATTTGTCTATGACACACACACACAGACAGAGAGAGCTCGGGAGCATATTCCTCAATTAACGGGGGCTTGCTGGCTTGGGCGATTCCTACGGTACTAGAGCCTAGGAAGGAGTCGTGCGATCATTGATGCATTGATAGCCAGGCTCCTAACCCCAAACCCCAAACCCTAAACCCTTAACCCCAAACCCCAAACCCTTAACCCTATAAGCCCTAAACCCTATATAAACCCCACACCTCCCTAAACCCCAAACCCCAAACCCTAAACCTGAAACCCCAAACCCCAAACCCTAAAACCCAAACCCCAAACCCCTAACCCCACTACCGGGGCTTGCAAAGCCGGTGCTACCAGGGTCGGCCTCGGGATGAGGAGGACGGCTGTGCAACGTCGAAGGAGGCCCAGTCTGGGATGGGACGGATTTTGTGTTTAGAAGTTTCGGCTTCAGGGGTTTAGGGTTTAGGGTTTGGGGCTTAGGGTTTAGGGTTCAGGGGTTTAAGGTTTGGGGTTTACCGTTTAGGGTTTTGGGTTCAGGATGTAGGGGTTTTTCAGGCTGCAGAGTTCAGGAGTTTGGGCGCAGGGTTCGTTTTTTGAGGGTCTAGTGAAGTGTTTTTACAGCGACAGCCTGGATCCCAAACCACGATGACGCTTTGAACAGGCCTGAAGGCGATGACGGCGAGGCTGAAGGCCCGGGGAAGTCGAAGGACGCCCATTCTTGGGACAGAATCATCAATAGGCACAGTTGTAGGAAGAACCGCAAGCTGAGGTCCGCACCCCCGCTGTTCGCAGACTCTGCCGGTCGGCTTTGTCCAGCTTGGCCGGAGCCTGACATTCAAACGTCGCTCCGTGTCGACTTCCAGTCTGGCTGCGCAAGGTGGCCTGCGTCGCCATGTGGCTCCTCCATGGCACCCGAAAAAGCATCCCACTTGTCGTTGGCCGCACTGGGGCCTGCAGCAGCACCATTCGGCACCACGGCACCCTCAACTTCTCAGTGCTAACCTTCCCTTGCCTGCCGAATGCCGACTCTCATCCAGCTCATCGAAGGCATCCCACTGCGGAGACACGCTGGGCTTCGCCGCCGCGCCTGCACCTCCAAGCAACGGCGGCAGATAAACATCCGTGCTCTCGACTCTGCAGTCAAGCACCTCCAGATGCCGACGATGGCTGTGCCGGGAAATCGAAGGAAGCCCATTCTGCAGCACAAGCACTAGCTTCACGCAAACACGGGTCCCGGGAACTGGATCTGGGGCTCTGTCCTCCTTCTTCTGCCGCGCTGTTGGGAGCAGCCGTTGCAGTACCTGTGCTCGGATAACATTGTGATTCGACGAAGCTCCCGCCCAATTCTTCCAGATGCGGGCACCAGAAGCCGCACTCGGCAAGGATGCATCGGGCTGCGCCGGCAAGTCGAAAGACGCCCATTCTGAGTCCGGGTTTGCTTGGGATGATAGATGATGACAGTCCAAATGGTCTTCAGAACTGGGATTTGGGCCGTCTTTGCTCTCCGGCTGCGTGGATCCTGGGACTGCTTTCATTGTATCTGCTGCTCTCCTCCGTGACAAGCTGGGGATCGTTCTGAGTGAGCTGCCCATGTTCATCTGCATCTGACTGGTTGGCTCCTTGTGAATGGTGTGGATGCATGCATTCTTGCGAAGTCGATGCGAATCTTCTTGCCGACGTGTGAAACTGTATGAAAACCCACAGCTTTGCACTTGCCTGCACCGCATCTGCCGAAGCAATGTTTGCACCTTGTGTTGTATGTGCAGTCGGCAAGTACAGGCAGACGGCTCTGACCGGTCACGGGCCACCTGTCGTTGCTGCAGACGCCTCAGGTGAACATGCACTGCCAAGACATGCCTGTCAAAAACGAGCCGAAGAAGGAGCGCAGGACACACTACGAGTAGGACGTGCAGATCGGGCAGTCACCAGTCGAGCACAGCCCAAGCACGGCACATCTGTGGCCACCGGTGCCGGCATGGGTGCCGGGAAGTCCGCAAACATGTCGCCCGCTGGCTCCTCAGGAGCCCTGCCACCTGCACTTCAGAATAACAGCCCTCCAAGAACCTTTAAGCAGAATCTCACGTCTGAGTACATGACATGATCGCAAGTAACTGTTCGTGCTTACGCTAGTGGCCTGAAGGCGATGATGGCGAGGCTGAAGGCCCGGGGAAGTCGAAGGACGCCCATTCTTGGGACAGAATCATCAATAGGCACAGTTGCAGGAAGAACTGCAAACTGAGGTCCGCACCCCCGCTGTTCGCAGACTCTGCCGGTCGGCTTTGTCCAGCTTGACCGGAGCCTCACACTAACATGTGATTCGACAAAGCTCCTGCCCAATTCTTCCAGATGGGGGCACCAGAAGCCGCACTCGGCAAGGACGCATCGGGCTGCGCCGGCAAGTCGAAAGACGCCCATTCTGAGTCCGGGTTTGCTTGGGATGATAGATGATGACAGTCCAAATGGTCTTCAGAACTGGGATTTGGGCCGTCTTTGCTCTCCGGCTGCGTGGATCCTCTGTTTGCGCTCTCCCACATTCCAGGGACCGGTTCGTGTGACAAGCTGGCCGTAGCATGCAAACGGCGGATCGCTCTGAGTGAGCTGCCCATGCTCATCTGCATCTGACTGGTGGGCTCCTTGTGTATGGTGCGTATGGATGGGAACTTGGGATCATCTATGCCAAAATGAAATGAATGAAAACCCACAGCTTTGCACTAGCCTGCACCGCATCCATCGGAGCAAGGCTTGCACCTTGTGTTGCAGCTGCAGTCAGCAAGAAAAGGCAGACGGCTTGGTCTTTCCTACCACTATTTCGAATCCAGCCGAGTCTGCGTAGTCTGCACAGTCTGAACTGCCCTCAAGGCCATGCTCGGTCGTGGACCACCTGCCGCTGGACCTTCTGCTGCCGGAGCCTCGCACTCGTTAGGGTTTAGGGTTTCAAAGTTTCTAAACCGCTGGACCAACAGCTCTTGAGGAAATGGGACAGCTTCGGCTCAGGCTTCTCCCCGTCTGGGCTTCTGCAACAGCTGCTTAGCGCTCCAACAGCTACATCATACGTCATCTGTTGTATACTATATATGAATGAGAAAGAACTGAAGAAATTTGCAAGTAGAGACTATACATACCCTTACCGTACTTGGTACTTAGGTGTTCTCGTCTCGGACCACACGGCAACAATCGGAGAGACAGCTCTGCGGCAAGGTGCTCAGGGAAAGAACAGGAACCCATAGCGCGATGCCAAAACCCTAAACCTAAACCCTAAACCCCTAAACCCTAAACCCTAAACCCCTAAACCCTAAACCCCTAAAACCCTAAACCCCTAAACTCTGGGGTTTCCTTTCGGAAACCCCCAAGAAAAGAGCTCCCAAAAACCCTTCAGGGGCGTAGTCAGTCTAAGGTTGAAACCATGGGCCCCTAGTATGGCCCCTAGTAAGCCCAGGGATCCTTCCTCATCTGCTTTTTTTTCACCCTCTATGTACCCCGTAAGGGTCCCTATAGAAAGGCCTCAGGGTCCATATTAGGGGCTCTTACTTCTAGATGTAGGGTATCTGTCAGCCACTGTCTCGCGTAAAGGGCCCATGGAAACGGAAGATTGCTTCGAACACTCTTGTCGAATTTAGGGCTCAGGACTGATACATTAGGATAGCTGATCGTTTGTGTCCATGTTGGCAATGGAATGTCGAAAATGTGAACATCATCTTGTACACTATGCTGGCATTCGGATTCCAGTGTTCTTTTCTGGTTCCGGACATCTTCAAACGCGAGACTTTCGCAGGGGTCAAGCGTTATGGGTTTAGGGTTTAGGGCTGCTGTCAGAAGAAGAAGAAGAAGGAAGCCCCATTTAGAGATGTGGTCCGTGACAGTTCTCTGACCCATGACTCTCTCTTCCGATGTGTAGCGAGCTACATTGGAACTGCTGCTCCTGCAGTGCGCTGCTTGATTATCAGTCAGTTGTTCCTCAGCATGGCATCAGCTCACCCACAAAGGCTAACACTAAACCCCCCAAACCCTGATTTCAGATCCAATGCAACCGAGGCCACCAGTGCGGCGAACTCCGCGAAGACATCTCCGCGTGCGGGCTCCTGAGCGGCTGGATCACCTGCGCTGGGGTGGAGCTGAGAACGCTATGGATTGGGCCGGTGTCCACGAAAGAGAAAAACCTCCAACAATTCCCGTGGCCACGATGGTGTAGATTTGAGTGGCTTACGTGTTCAGGCGACTAGTTGCTCATGGCCGATATTGCTCATTGTGCTATGCTTCTTGAGAAGTCGATCCGTGCTTCGGGATGAAAGCCTTGAGAAGATTTGCACAGTTCGCCGTACCGATAGTTCACTCCCCTTTCATGCCTTCTTCGAGTCAAAAGGTGCCAAAGCTTGCGGCTACAAGATCATCTGTAGATCACTTCATTGGGAAGCCGTCCACCCCATGACTTGCTGACAGCAAACAACTGATGCACATGCCGGAGATTGACACTGCTGCACACTCGCGGAAACGATATCAGAGATGAAGTCCCAATTAGAATAGGGTCTTGGGGCTCCTTTAAAATATAGTTATAAAAAGGAACCCCCCAAACGATATAGGTAATTACTGAGGCTCCTATATTACACCAATTGCTATCCTCGCAGCCAGCGCAGTCACAAGGGAATCCGCGGCTCATTTAGGGGCCTCTAACGTTGGGACAGGGGGTTTAGGGTTTAGGACTTAGGGTTTGGGGTTTAGGATTCAGCATTTAGGGGCCTGTAACATTAGAATAGGTTTTCGGGGGGCATACTTTACTACAATCATGGTCAATCATGGTTGTAAGGACCACAATGGAACACGAATGCCAATTATACCAACCCTCATAGTAGCATGAAGCTCCTGATGGAATCTACTGTGGGGCTTGGCTTACCTTGAGGACCAAATGATCCTTAAAAGTAAGGGCCTCTTTCCCCAATACTGCGAATGAATTCCTATATATGGTATCTGAACCCAAAACCCTAGTCGGGCTCAGGGCTTAGGGCTTAGGGTTTAGGGTTTAGGGTTTAGGGTTTAGGGTTTAGGGCTTAGGGTTTAGGACTTAGGGTTTAGGGTTTAGGGCTTAGGGTTTAGGGCTCGGGGGTCCAGGGGCAAATTGAGCCTGGGCCGAGGTTAAGCCCGTTCAGGATGATGCGCTTAGGTTCCCTTTAGTTACCGCAAGGGTTTAGGGTTTAGGGTTCTACAGCAGTTCTTGAATTTAAGGTTCTGTGATATAGACGCCTTAATACTTCGAGTGGCGGTCACATGACATACTTACATGCCACCTGGCCGTACGAGGGCGCTGGTCCCTGCTGTGGGAATATCTATCGCAGCCTGGCCACGACCCGTCCCATCATCCTTTTTTGCCGCTGAAGGGGCAGACTCAACCAGTCCGACCATCCAACGCAGACTCCAACGCATCACGGAACAGGTGCTCACCCCTTTCGTCACTGCTGCGAGGATAGCTGTGCCAGTCTGGCATACTTGGGGAAAACCTCCCCACTCCTGATGCAAGCAAGAGGCTGCAACATGCAAAAGAAGTCAAAAGCAGCCAAGCGGATGACAACCAACAAGAGTTGTGCAAAGGTACGATAAGGTGTGCTGTAAGGGATGTATGTATGTGTATATATATATATACATATATATATATATAAGGCAACTCTAAGGTTACCCTGTACCGTTTCCACGGCCGAACTCCAGAAATCCTGCGTGCTTCAGCCAAGGCTCACTGAGCCCACGCTGCAAAAACACGCTGAACTTTCCTCAGCCATTCATTCGACTTAGGGTTCAGGGTTTAGGGTTTAGGGTTTAGGGTTTAGGGCTTAGGGTTTACGGTTTAGGGCTTAGGGTTTAGGGTTTTGGGTTTAGGGTTTATTGTTCTGAAGCTGCTCGTACTAACACATTGCACCAGCTAGCCTGACAGCACATTCTGTGTTCAGGATTGCTTTTTCGCTCGCTTTCATGTTGGCTCCATGGCCAATGTCTGCGGCACCTTTACATTCCTTTACACGCTCGCAACATGCAATGGGAGACCCTGTGCGTCGGAAGACGCCACGGTGGCTGCACACGAAAATCTGTGCAGCTGCCGCAATGCCGATACGATTCTATGCACTGTCGTCACTGTTGCCTTCAGCCAGCTCGTGGCTGTGACAACATCTTGTGACAGAGAAGTAGAGTCCGATTCCCACCAGGGCAAGCAGCATATTTACTGCGTAATAGTACTCAAGGTGGCCGGTGTCTAAATCATCCGGGTAGAGCAGTTTGGATACAATTGCTGTGAAGGCATTGGACACAGATCCCGAGAAAAAGAGGTTCACCGCTTGCAGCAGGGAGCGAACTTGTGGGGGAGCGCTCTCATATGAGAAGCAGTAGAGACACGGGTTTACAAGGATCTCGGCGATTCCTACCAGGATGTAGGGCAGAAAAATCCAGAAGCCGCTGATGTCCCGCATTCTTGTCCCTGCCAGCCCATCCTCCGAATATCCTGGCGCACACTGCGAAAAGCCGACGTCACACAGAGGAGGAGCCGCCCGTCTTTTCACCTGGGGCTTTGTCTTCGAAATCTCGTACTCCGATTAAACCCTCAAACCCCCAAGGTGGCGACCCTTAACTACTACGGTTGATGATATAAATCCTGCATTACCCATAATGAGGAATCTACCATAATTCCCATAGTTTAGGGTCCTTCAGGTAATGCAGGATTTATATCATCAACAGTAACCTAGCCTAGCCTCGAAGCCTAAACCTCAAAAGATACACTGAAGGAGCCCAAAGCCGTAAACTCGAAAGCCTAAGAACGTATCTTAAGAGGAGCCCGGGTTCACACCTCCAGCACTGCAGCTGAGAAGTTGGAGACTGCGGCAACGAGAAGTCCAGTAACCATTTTCTGTCCCAAAGATACCTATACTGATAATCTAGCTGTTTCTTCGGGATACTATTCAAAAAAGATACCTATATAGCTGTTTCTTCGGGATATTATTCAACAAGATACCTATACTGATAATCTAGCTGTTTCTTTGGGATACTAATCACCAACAAGCACCAAAGATTTCCAAGTACCCCTCAGATACAGGACTGCCCTTCAGGCGCGCAATCAGCGGATAGACGCAGGACTCGAAGATGGGAGTGAAGACGACGATGGCCAGGGCATCCGCGATGTTGAAGAAAGCTCCGTTCAGCTGCCCTCCTCCTAGGCGGACATCCATTTGGCAGGCCTGCGATGGGAATGCGTTGTTCATGGAGTTGTAGCAGAGACTGAAGGAGAGGTTGACCACGATAATGACAGGAATCGCAGCGAAGGTTCGTGCAGCTTCCACCTGGTTGAAAGAATTCTTCGACTCGTCGCCGAGCTTTTGCACCCAAGAGCAACGTACGTTGGCGACCTTGGAGCTACAAAGTCTTGAGAAAGTCACATCAATCCCATTCAGACCCTTCTAAGAAAGCAGTCCGAGTCTTCTGAGCGCAAGGCGACGAGGCAGACGCAGGCCAAGCTGCCCAAAGCCAAGGCCGTGTCGTTGAGGGTATCGTTGATGGAGATGGTCCCTCCGTGAAGCCGGCGAGTACCCGAGGCGGAAGAGCATGGATCCAGAAAGACCTGCTCGCTTGCAGTTGTCGCTTTCGGTGTCAACACGGCTGCAAGGGTGACTATGTAGAAGAGGGGCAAGCAGAGCCAACCAATGGCCGACATCACAGCTCGCCAGCCGCCGCCACGCAAGGAACGGCACTGATAGCGGACCAGACGCTTCACAGGTCCGAGACCATTTCCAGGCAGCCGCCGGTAAGATGGAGTGAAGGAGATAAAGATCAACACCGCTGCTATCATAAAGACAGCTCCGGCCCCATACGCAAAGGAGTAGCCCTCACTCTGGGACACCACACCAGGGAGCCCACCAGTGGTGATGTTCGTGAAGAATCCAAAGGCAAACAGAACCCCGATGTTGATGGCCAGGTAGAACAGAGAGAAGTAAGTCTTTTGGCATTCCCGCTGGCTCTCAGTTTCGTCACCAATCTGGTCCGCGCCGAAATTTGCAATGTTTGGCTTGATGCCACCTGTGCCAGCAGCGATAAGCACGAGGCATCCGCCGGTAAACATCCACCCAAGCGAGGTCTGGAAGGCATGAACTACAGCAATAGCCACGCAAAGTGTGCCGGTGGCATAGATTGCACCCGCACCGATGATGGTCTTGTAACGACCCACAGAGTCTGCGATCAGGCCGCCCGGGATACACCAGAAGTAACAGAGCATGCTGAAGACCGAGTTCAGCGCTGCTGCCGTGGAGGGCAACTTGTGGAGCTGATTTTGCAAGTAGATTTTCTGCGTCCCTGCCAGTGTGTAGTATGTCAACCTCTCGCAGAGCTCAACCAAGAGGATCACCATGACTGGAATCTTGCGAACCTTCTTCGCCTCGTCCGGAGACTCAGAGGAATCAGCACTCTCACTTTCGGAAGCTGCAGCCATCGCACTCGCCGGAGCTCTGATCGACCGCGCGCACACACACACACGAATTAGTGCATTCTGAACAAAAGCTGCAGCGGATCGATTCAAGTCGGTCAGGTGGGCTTTCGGCCGCTTGGCACAAGGCACAGCCTTTCTCAAACGACCTGCAGCCTAATTCCCTAAACGGCCCTAAATTCTGGGTTTAGGGTTTAGGGGTTAGGGGTTTAGGGTTTAGGGCTTTGAGTTATAGGGTTTAGGGCTTAGGGTTATAGGGTTTAGGGCTTAGGGTTTAGGGTTTTGGGTTTCCCTAAACCCTCTGAGTTCTGGGCTTGATCTTCTTTCTGCACACTGGGCAGGGCTTCTTTGCCAAGCCTGGGGAGAACCACGAGCAGTTTGGTCTCCCTTTAGGGTTTAGGGTTTCGGGGTTTAGGGGTCTAGGGTTTAGGGTTTTAGGGTTTAGGGTTTAGGGTTTAGGGTTTAGGGTTTAGGGTTTAGTCTAACACTCGCCCGGAAGTCCATGAAGCATGCAGTATCCAGTATACAGTTTATAGTGGTGCACTATAGCCTGTAGTACATGGTATATAACAGATACTGTAGAGCATACATACAGTCTCTACTATGAACTATGCTGCACTTTCGTTTTATCGTATAGTCTCGTCTAGCTTCGTGCCTCAAGGCCTACCTACAGTAGGATCAGTAGGAGCTTTTGCAGAGCCTAAACCCTAAACCCTAAACCCAACCCTGGACCCTCAAACCTAAAACCTTAACTGAAACCTTAACAGCAGCAGAAGATTGAGATCCCCGCGCTCGCCACACGCCACGCAGGCGGCCATGTGGCCGCAAGGCACGAAGACCGTGGCAGCTGCGCTGTCCATGCCTCAGGGTTTAGGGGCTTGGGGTTTAGGGTTTAGGGTTCAGGGTTTAGGGTTTAAGGTTTAGGGTTTAGGGTTTAGGGCTCATTCTTTACGGATCTTCTCAAGCCCTGGGGGAAATCGGATTTAGGGATTAGGATGGTGGCCGTTACCGCGTGACGAGAAGACCGCAGGCGGGGATCAAGGGTTGTAGTTACTGTACTACTGCGCTACTTCTTCTCACATCTTCACTCTTCCAACATGCAGGTGGAATTTCAAGACGATTCCTGGGCTTGGGACGTGGCTGAGTGCTATAGGTGCCACGGACCACAACAGGGTTGAAACCCTAAACCCTTAACCCCTAAACCACTAAACCCCTAAAGCCCTACACCCCTAAACCCCTAAACCCCTAGACCCCTAAACCCCTGAACCCTAAACCCCTAAACCCCTAAAGGCTAAGGCACGCCGGCGCTCTTCGGTCTTTTGAAGCATCTTCGCGCTCGTATGGGTTCTTCATGTCAAGCTAGGGTTTAGGGTTTAAGAGTTAAGGTATGACCTCCGACCCTCTTTAGGGTTTAGGGGTTTAGGGTTTAGGGTTTAAGGGTTAAGGGTTTAGGGTTTAGGGTTAGAGAACACAGCAGTTGCAGCTGGACTTACGATCGTCCGGTGGCAATCCAAGTGCCACTCGACATTTCCGTATTTTGCTCTGGTAGTCTTCTGTGATGGACAGCTCTTGCTGGTCACGCTGGGCAACTGCAGCAAACTCCCGCGTCCAGCAGCGTGCCCACCACAGGGAAAAGTATGCACACGCAAGGAATCCTGTGAGGAGGAGGCTGGCGAAGACAGCTGCGGCAGCAAAAGCACCCCATCCGGCACCGAACATGCAGCAGAACGCAACGACGTTGTGCCACCGCCTGCTCCGCGTGCCATCGTTGAAAGCGATGTAGCCACACAAGCAAAGCAAAGATGAACGTCGAGCATACTTCAGGTACACTTCAAGCAAGCTCAAACCAGCATCGCGGCCTGAACAGCGACGTCTGCGACTTTTCCGTGCCGCCCCAATGCAAATGCTCTCGATTATCCCGCCAGGTGCGAGCTGAAGGAAAAGCCAGGACATGTTGTAAAAGAGATGGTACGCGTGCAACGCGACGTATCGAACTGCATGCACCAGCCAGAAGGCTGCGGAAAAGCGGAGGCCCCACAGTAATAGCACCATCCATGCACTGCCTGCGACAATGCGGCGCCGTCGGATGACAGAGTTCCATCTCAGGCGGCATTCTGCCAAGCTGACGTCGCGCTCTCTTTCAAGCTGTTGGATTTGCTCCCGTAGTGCTTTCTTTTTCCGAAGATCCACCTCACTGTGCCACCTCTGAATGAGACGTCGCTTGCTGGACACGTAGCTTTCGCTCTGACGCGCTTTGCCAAGAACATCACCGTTCAGTCGGTGTATATGTCGCAACATGATGCCATCCAGAGTCAGTGCAGGCCTGGTACATGGCAGCGCGAGCTCTGGCATCGGGGAAGTCCAGAAATCTGAAGCAAGCATCATGCTCCAGATTGCATCTACCTCACAGAACTCGTAGACGCTCCTGTCTATACCTGCCAGATGCCCAACGTCTGCCGGAGTGCAGAAGACCAGGAGAAAGTTCAGAACATCTCGTCGCAAACGGAGACTGAGCACTTGCTCTCTCACCTGCATCCGCACCGGCAAACTCAGGATCCCAGTGTGCTCATGCAGAGCTGGAAGTTGCAGCATCATCACGTGTCGCACACGCCTGCGACCCGCCTCCGCAGTGTCTTGGGCCCTGGAGCCCTCTTGGCTTTGGCACGCCATGGCTGAGCCCATCTGCGAGGCATGGATCCCCATCTTCCCACTGCAAGCTTATGGGAGGACTTCGGGGAGAGAAAGGAAATTCCTCTTAGCACCTTCTGTGCCCTCATTTGTCGATTTACATGTTCTGCACCAGGGCGGAGACGTGATGATCTTGGATATTGGCCGCTTCGAGAAGCTGGCAGAACAGGCGCAAAACAAAGACACGACACGAATCACGGCTTCCAACCAGACACCATATACCCTCCCTTCTATAGAACCCTTATGGATCCCTTCAAGGATGCCTGTAAGGAGCCCGGAGCCCTTATTTAGGGAACCCGACTTAGGAGAGCCAGGTGCAAACGCGCGAGTTTCCTCCCACTGAGCTGCCAACAGATGGCGCACTCGGGTGGGCCGGCGGTTGCTGGCGGCTTCTGCACCTTCAGAGAACCATGCCTGAACAACCCTTAACCCCGCTTCCAAACCCTAAACCCTAGACCCGTAAACCCTAGACCCCCAAACCCTCCGAACCCCAAACCCTAAACCCTGAACCCTAAAACCTAAACTCCTAAACCCTAGACCCCAAAACCCCCTAAACCCCAAACATGCCTTGCCTCCACTTCGGGTGAGGGACTCCGAGCGAGAGGCAAGGCCGCTGCCGCGGACTCTTCGGGCTCATCTCGCGCCCGCTTCCGGGTTTCCTGACTTCTAGGGTTTAGGGTTTAGG